CTGCATCGATCTGCTTGTCTTCGAGTCGCTGGCCCCCTGAGTTCCCGACCGCTTCCCCGAGGCCGGCTCCCAGCCCCTGGACCCGGAAGCGGGCCCCAGGGCCGCAGGACAATGAGGGGTGCCGAACGTCGCCGAAGGCCCCCTCGAAGGCCCCCGATGGCTCCCGATGGTTTTCGATGGCCGCCGAAGGCCCTCGAAGGCCGCCGATGGCCGCCGATGGCCCCCGCTGGTCCCCGAAGGCTGCCGAGGGCCCTCGAAGGCCCCCGATGGCCGCGGAAGGCCTCCGCAGGCCGCCGATGGCTGGCGGCCGCCGGCTGCGCGCGGGGCTGTGGCGCGCCCGCCCGCCGCCTCGAGGCCAAGCCGCGGTCGAGCAGCTTCGACCCAGGCGGCGCCAGCCCGGGGGTCGTGCCGCCCGAGGCGCGCCCTGCCCCTCGGCGCGCCTCGCGCACGCGCGTGTGCGCCCGCAAAGCGCGCGCGCGCGGCGGGTCGTCGTCCCGTCGGGGACCTGGGGAGGGTTGGCAGGTGGAGTGGTGGGGGCGACGGGCTTATTTTGCAATATTAGATAATATTAGGCTCTACATGGTGTAGGGAATGGTCAGCATTTCCCTATTGGGAATGGACGCATTCTTGAGTTGAACATCTTAGTCTACATGTAGAGACATAAGAATTTTATGGACGGTGTGGAGGAGGTGAGGGTTGGTGGGTGGTGGTGCGCGCGGAGGGCGGAAAGGGGGGGTGAGGGGGAGGGGGAGGGCGGAGAGCGGAGCGGGATGCGACGGGTGGGGGTGGGCTGGTGGGAGGGGGCGCATGGAGATGACGGGGGGAGGGGAGCGGAGGCGTTGCCAATCTGAAGCCACACCGCTGGGCGCCCTGCGAGCCGCGCTCGCCGGTCCAGGACCGCCCGCACGCTGGCGGATGTCGTTTCCAGGGCAGAGGGAAGGGAGGGAGGCGGAGGACCACCTTCCCCCCGCCTTCTCCACCTGCCTCGCCGCCTCCCCCGCATAGCGGTGGCCCCTCCTCCTCACGAGCCAGGCAGCCGAGCCGGGCTCGGGGCACCTCCCCAGACATCCGACGATGTGATTTTCTTCAATCGGCGGCCCCAAACCTCCCGACCCCTTCCCTGGGGCCGCTTTTTGATCCCCCCGGCCCCGCTAACGGGCCCCCGAGGCCGAAACCAAGGCACAAACGCTCGGGTTGAAGACATCGCGTCCTCGGACATCTGGGTCTTGATGCAGGCGCCCGCCGCGCCCGAGGGCTCTGCGGCTGGGGCCGCCCCCGCCGCGGATGCGGGCGCTGCCCTGCCTGTCCCTCGGGATGCTGCGCAGCAGCAGCCCGCCGCACCACCGCCGGGCCTGCTCAAGGCGCGCCTGCGCGAGCGCACCGACGCCGCGCTGCGCGCCGTGGCGGAGGCGTACGCCGTGGCGGTAGAGGCCGCCAGGGTCGGGTCGCCCGGCGAAGCGGCGGCCGGCGGCTGCGCGCTCGCGGTGCACCGCGCCACCATGGCCCGCGCGGCCGACGACCTGCTGAGGATCGCGGGGGAGGTCGGCTGCGTGGGCGCCGCCGCGCGGGCGCCCGCCGCCGCCGCGGAGGCCGAGGGGCAGCGCCTGCTCCACCTGCAGGCGCCTCGGGGGGGGGGGCGCCTCGGGGGGGGCGGCGCGGAGCAGCGACGGGCCCCGTCGCCGTCGAGCGTCGGCGCGCTCCGTCGCCGGATGGGGCGGCACGGGTCTCGTGCTTCGTCCGTGGATCCAGCCCCCGCGCACCAGGTCCAAGGACCCCTAGTCCCCGTCCTCCTCCTCCTTCTCCCCCTCCTCCTCCGTATCCCCATCCCTCTCCACCTCCTCCTCCTCCTACTCCGCCTCCTCCTCCTCCTCTGCCTCCTCCTCCTCCTCATCATCCTCTTCCTCCTCCTTCCGTGTTGGCGTGGGCCCGAAAAGGTCGGGCGCTGCCAGAGGTGTCCCTGGCCCGAGGTGTCCCCAGGATAGCCGGCCCGGGGAGGCCCAGATGGCCTCCAGAGCAGCCCTCACGAGGCCCAGGCGGCCCCAGGGGCTCTAAAACGGCGCGACACGCGGGGTACCTTGAGATCCCACGTTGCAAAGGACTGGCAACATCGCAAAAATCACGACTGGAGCCCCATCTTCATACGCCATTTTTCGAGCCGGATCGATGTGTGAGTGTCTCTGGGCCCGAAATCAGGCGAGAACGCCCGTTGTGCAAAAACAGCACCGCCAGGATCTCAGGGGACATCTTGGGCCAGGGCCACTCCCGACAAGCACCCGACGAGGAGGAGCGGGCCGCGCTCGCCCACCTGCGGGAGCGCGGGGCCGGCGGGCCCCTGTGGCCAGCGCTGCCCGCCGCGGCGGCGGCCCGCGCCGGCGCGGAGGCCGCCAAGAGGCCCCGGAGGGCGCCGGGGGAGCCGCCGGGCCGGCTGCTGCCAGCCTGGGCGGGCGCCGAGATGTTCCAGCAGGGCTCCCTGGGCGTGCGCGGGGACCGGCCGCCGTGAGAGGCCGGCCTCCGCGCGGGCCTCGCCTCGGCCGGCCTTCCCGGAGGGCTTCACGACTCCTCCGGGGGCAACGGCAGGGGGGGGAGAGGCAGATGGGGGGATGCATCGACCCCCGATCGGCCCACTGATCCCCGATGGGGGTGCCCGATAGCCCCAGCCTGCCCAGGAGCGTGCGGATGCACTGTCGGGGGCGCACCGCCGAACTGTTGGCGACGTGTCGCCGATTTCAGGTCAAGGTCGATGTTTCCCCTCCTATGCCTATCCCTCCGCTGTCGTTGCCCCTCACTCCTTCTCTAAGATCAATCGGAGTGGATCGAGGTAAATCCATAATACACCGAGGTGGGGAGCGTTTTTTGCAGCCCTCCTGAATATTGGGTTCTCGTTTTGAATAGAGGCCTGTGGTCTCCATCCTTCCCCTCCTTCTCCTCCTCCTCCTCCTCTTTCTCCTCCTCCTCCTCCTCCTCTCTTTCTCCTCCTCCTCCTCCTCCTCCTCCTCCTCCTCCTCCTCCTCCTCCTCCTCTCCTGCTCTCCTGCATCCTGTGCCCTCCCTCGGGAGCTGAAAATAACGCAACTGTCGCTACTTTTGTGGGCTCCTGGGTGGTGCAGCGGAGGCGGTGGTCACGCGAGACCTCGTGGCTCCCTGGGAGGCTGCCATCTGCGCAATTGTCGCCAATTCCGTGGGATCCAGCGGGGACGGTGGTCACACGAGACCTTACGGCTCCCTCGGAGGCTGCCATCTGCGCAATTGTTGCCACTTCCGTCCTGGGAGGTGCAGCGAAGGCGGTAGTCACGCGGGACCTCGTGGCTCCCTGGGAAGCTGCCAATTGCGCAACTGATGTCAGTTTTCTGGACGCCTGGGAGGTGCAGCGAAGGCGGCAGTCACGCAGAGCCAGGCACACACATATATGTGTATACATATACACCTATGTAGACAAGCATTTTTGTATATATTCATAGGCACATCTATAACTATAACTACACTCATATACACATGTATATACATACCTATATACTTACATGTGCCATCATACACATAGCTATACCTGTATACACATGTATTTGTATATAGCTGTCTATCCATACTTGGCATTATGACATATATACATACACATACACATATATGAGCACACACTTATGTGTATATACACACGTACAACTGCACACGTATATACACTCATCTGTATATTATAGCTGTATGTGTATCTGTGAACGAACATTAATGTCAAAACATATACATATTATATACACACGCCTGTTTACGTATACACATATACATGTATCCATATCGCAATACCTGCATACACACATTTACTCATATCTATAACTTTATTGTATATTTGTATATGCATCTGTATATATATATATATATATATATTCATTTATAAATATATAGATGTATGGTTCATATATACATATACTTATGTATATCGCTATATCTCTATCTAATATGTGTATATGTATGCATCTACGATTCTATAAGCACATTACTTACTCAAACACAGGGGCTGAACCGAACGGCCATTCACTGGCCCTGGGTGCGTGGCTGAAGTGGAATTCCGCGATGCGGATTCTTGTTGTTGTTGTCGTCGTCCCACCCACGACCCGCCCCGCGACCCACCCGCGACCCACCCCGCGACCCACCCGCGACCCACCCGCGACCCACCCCGCGACCCGCCCGCGACCCACCCCACCCCGCGACCCACCCGCGACCCACCCGCGACCCACCCGCGACCACCGGACCCGCGACCCACCCGCGACCCACCCGCGACCCCCCGCGACCCACCCGCGACCCACGACCACCCGCGACCCACCCGCGACCCACCCGCGACCCACCACGACCCACCCGCGACCCATCCGCGACCCACCCCGCGACCCACCCAAAATTTTCGGCGCCTGCGGCGGGTTTCTTTTGCATTCGTTCCAGGTCGTTCCAGGTGGAGAACCTGCGACCCACCCGCGACCCAAACCGCGTTCAGTGTACAAATCAAAATTTTCGGCGCCTGCGGCGGGCTATTTTTGAATTTCTTCCAGGTGGAGGTGGGGAGCCCGCGACCCACCGCGACCCAAATTACGTTCACTGAAGAAGCTAAAACTTCGGCGCCTGCGGCGGATTTCTTTTGCATCGGCGACCCACTGGCGACCCACCCCGAGACCCACCCGCGACCCACCCCGCGACCCACCCGCGAGCAACCCGCGACCCACCCGCGACCCACCGCGACTCACCCGCGACCCGCCCGCGACCCACCCCGCGACCCAAATTTTCGGCGCCTGCGGCGGGCTTCTTTTGCATTCGTTCCAGGCTTCTTTTGCATTCGTGAGGCCCAGGAGGTCCGCTGGCTCGACGTCCGCGTCGCCCGCGCCCGCCCCCTCACTCTTATCCGCAATTGCGGGGTGTATTATATCTATATATATATATATATATATATATATATATATGTGTATGTATGTATACATATAACGGCGCACCGGGTCCGGGGGCCCGGGGCCGGGACCCCGACCACAAATGTGAGCCCCGGGGGGCCCGGAGGCTCGTCGGGGCTTGCCGGAGGCCTCCCCGGTCAGACAAGACGGCCCCAGGAGCGCCCAAGACGGCCCAAGAAACTTCCAAGAGGCCTCCAAGAGGGCTCCGAGATGCTGAAGATGGCCTCCAGACGTCCAAGGACGCCCCCAAGAGGCCCCAAGAAGCCTCCAACATGCGTCCCAAGAGGGCCCCTAGACGCAAAAATTGGCCCATTCCCTTCGTAAAACGTACATTTTCAACAAAGTTGCCTTTTGGGCTTTCCGACGTTACAGGACGGCCCAAGAGGCGCCCAAGACCGCCCCAAGACGGCCCAAGAAGCTTCCAAGAGGGCCCCAGGACAGCCCAAGAGGGCCCCAAGACGGCCCAAGAGGCGCCCAAGATGGCCCAAGAGGGCCCCAAGACGGGCCCAAGAGGGGGCCCAGAGGGGGACCACGAACCGCAAGCTCGAGCCTTCCGCCCCAAGAGGCCGCCAGGAGGCCCCCAGGAGGCCCCTCAAGAGGCCCCAGGAGACCCCAGACGTCCAAGGACGCCCCCAAGACGCCCCAAGAAGCCTCCAACATGCGTCCCAAGAGGGCCCCTAGACGCAAAAATTGACCCATTCCCTTCGTAAAACGTACATTTTTCAACAAAGTCGCCTTTTGGGCTTTCCGACGTTACAGGACGGCCCAAGAGGCGCCCAAGACCGCCCCAAGACGGCCCAAGAAGCTTCCAAGAGGGCCCCAGGACAGCCCAAGAGGGCCCCAAGACGGCCCAAGAGGCGCCCAAGATGGCCCAAGAGGGCCCCAAGACGGGCCCAAGAGGGGGCCCAGAGGGGGACCACGAACCGCAAGCTCGAGCCTTCCGCCCCAAGAGGCCGCCAGGAGGCCCCCAGGAGGCCCCTCAAGAGGCCCCAGGAGACCCCAGACGTCCAAGGACGCCCCCAAGACGCCCCAAGAAGCCTCCAACATGCGTCCCAAGAGGGCCCCTAGACGCAAAAATTGACCCATTCCCTTCGTAAAACGTACATTTTCAACAAAGTCGCCTTTTGGGCTTTCCGACGTTACAGGACGGCCCAAGAGGCGCCCAAGACCGCCCCAAGACGGCCCAAGAAGCTTCCAAGAGGGCCCCAGGACAGCCCAAGAGGGCCCCAAAGCGGCCCAAGAGGTGCCCAAGATGGCCCAAGAGGGCCCCGAAACGGGCCCAAGAGGGGGCCCAGAGGGGGACCACGAACCGCAAGCTCGAGCCTTCCGCCCCAAGAGGCCGCCAGGAGGCCCCAAGGAGGCCCCTCAAGAGGCCCCAGGAGACCCCCAAGAGGCCCAAAGGAGGCCCCGAGAAGCCCCAAATCGGCCCCCAAAATGCTTCGAACCTGCTTCCAGGAGGCCCCCGACAGGTTCAGAGGCTCCCGAGAAGCTACGTCAAACTCCCAGCGAGCGGCCGGACGAGGCCCCCCAAAAAATCCCAAGAGGGGTTCCAGTATTTGTATCTTTCAGCGCTCTCTGGCCTTCTTCCCTCTCTTTCTCTCTATCTTTCTCTCTCTTCCTTTCAGATTCCGTGTCCTTGCGACCTTCTGCAGTCCCCGACGTCGCCATGGCTGGATCCGCTGGAGCGTGTCTTGTGATGTGCGGCGGTGCGAAGCCCGTCCCACTGATCAAGGCACAGGTACGAAATGATGGGTCCATCATTTCTTGCCTTCCCATGTGCGTTTTCCCAATCGATTCCTGGGCCCGAGGTCGCAAAAATTACGACGTCGGAGGTCTGGGGAGGCGGGAAGCACGACCTGGACCTCCGACGTCTTGGAAAAATCACGACGGCGGTTTTTGTTAATTTTCGGCCTCCGGGGCCCCTCGCAGGGTCCCGGGACCGTCAGAAAACGACTCAGGATGAAAAAAAAAAACCATCCCTAGGAAGTCGTCGAGAGGTCCAGGGGCCGCGCACAGAAAACATCACGACATCGGACGTCCAGAGAGGAGGTAGGAACACGAGGAGGAGGGAGCCCAGAACTCCTGGCGACGCAACAACCAATACAAATGCTTTTTGGACGTTTTGGGCGGGGGCCATTTCGTCGTGGTGGTGGTGCGGTTCGGGACTTTCTTCGTTTCGGGGCCTTCCCCCGCCGCCGCAGATCGACGGTGACGATCCTAATTAGCTAGAACCTAAGCGCGCGCGAAGCGCGCGCGTGGTTCTAGTATGTATGTATGTATGTATGTATGTATGTATGTATATATGTATGTATGTATGCATGCATGTATGTATGTGTATGTATGTATGTATGTATGTATGTATGTATGTATGTATGTATGTATGTATGTATGTATGTGTATGTATGTATGTATGTATGTATGTATGTATGTCGTATGTATGTATGTATGTATGTATGTATGTATGTATGTATGCATGCATGCATGCATGCATGTATGTATGTATGTATGTATGTATGTATGTATGTATGTATGTGTGTATGTATGTATGTGTGTGTGTGTATGTATGTATGTATGTATGT